AAGTTATTTGCTCGGTAGAGATGTGATGTGATTTTGATAAGATAGTTTATACATTTTTTTTTCATTTCGAATATTTAGGGGCTGTTCTCTTCGTGTTTCAGTTTTGAGTTTGAAATGCCATGTAAATACTTTTACAACATGAGTATAACTATGTTGGACTATGATTTTATGATCCTTGGTTTCAGATATACTTTTGGAAATGCTTTCATTTTATTAACAAAAAAAAGTGTGGGTGAATTTGGATGTCTAGGTCATGTCATCAATTGTATTCCTACACTGGTTAGTAAATTGTATGAATGGGGTGTGACAAGTGCCACACATCTTTCAATGGCGTGCATTTCTGTCATCCAGTTATGTTTCTTGGTCTCTTTAAGTCCCTTTCTCGTTCATTTTTTATCCTTTACTTCCAATTACACCCAATTGACTACAATCGTTCTTCCATCAACGAGATTTAAGTCTGAATCAACTATTGGAAGTGTGCAGTTTAGTCCCGAACTTTGGATTTCCTTAGTGCTCACCCATTTTTAGCTATTTTTGTCCAATTCCACCAATTTACCTCAAGTTTTACCAAACAAATAGAATTAACGCATAATTAAGCTATAATTTATCCAAATCAACAACAAATACCCTAGTTTAATATTCCAAATAAATGTACAAAATACACTTATCAAGCATCCCTAAATTTGAACATTTGTTTGTTCTCAAACAAAACTATAACCTAATTTAAACAAAGTTTTGAAGCAAAAATGGTTAGATAATCTACCTTTGATCTTAGGATTGGAATTTCTGTATCAGAATTATAAAGAGCTTCAAAATATTAACGTTAGATTCAAATTTTACTTATCCAATGCAAACCGGCGTGGATGTGTAAAATATCATAAATTCATAAAGTGATCAAATTCCGACCCTCAATGGTCTTTCTTCTCTCGTGCGATGCATACTCCTAAACTTACTTTTTTTTTAAAACTATTTTTCCAATGTGTGATCTAAGGTTGAATTCATAAACTAGTCCTCACCATTTGTATTTTGGTTAGATTTTATTAAGTGTAACTCAACATATCAACAAATGAAGATTCTCCTTGACTGCTTCAAACTCTAAGAATCAACTAAATAATCCCTTGTCAATTGTCCACTTCTCTCAAATAAGTGTTTAGAGCTCACTACACCAAAAATGGACTTTTGCACCACGCAAAAGGCAACATTCGTTGATTAAA